AAAAAAAAAAAAAAAAAAAAAAAGAAAGTGTACTACATGAGAACTGTTGACTTATGTATACATCCGTGGAAACATGCAAATTAGATTTTACTGATGCTTTCTGAATAGGTTCCATAGTCACATGGTTGAAAATACAAGACCCACAGGAGGGTAAACAGTGAAAAGTCTCTCTCCTGCCCTTCCCTCTAGCTATGCAGTTGCTCAGGTGTCCGTCCTAAGATATTAGGTGTATACAAGCAAAGGTGCATATGAATTCTTCTTTTTCTCTTATGTTATGCAAAATAAACCTGCCATGTTGTGATGGCTCTTCTGCCCTTTGCTTTGTGTGCATTGCATGTCTCATCAGTAGGTCTTTCATTTTACAGCTGTACAGTGTAGATGGCCTCTTTTTTTTTTTGAGATGGAGTCTCACTCTGCTGCCCAGGCTGGTGTACAGTGGCACAATCTTGGCTCACTGCAATGTCCACCTCCCAGGTTCAAGCGACTCTCCTGCCTCAGCCTCCTGAGTAGCTGAGATTACAGGCACACACCACCATGCCCAGCTAATTTTTGTCTTTTAATAGAGACGGGGTTTCACCATGTTGGCCAGGCTGGTCTTGAACTTCTGACCTCGTGATCCACCCACCTCAGCCTCCTAAAGTGCTGGGATTACAGTGAGCCACCATGCCCAGCTAATTTTTCTATTTTTAGTAGACACGGGGTTTCACCATGTTGATCAGGCTGGTCTCCATCTCCTGACATCGTGATCCACCTGCCTTGGCCTCCCAAACTGCTGGGATTAAAGATGTGAGCCACCACGTCCGGCCAAGATGGCCTCTTTTGTAACACAGATATGCAGCTTGTTTCTACTATACTCTTGCTATGACAAACACTGCTGAAAGAATAACCTTTTTTGTATGTTATTTCATATGTCTGTAGAACAATTTCTAGAAGGGAAATGGCTGGGCTCAGGTATGTCAAAGGCCAAGGATAAAGGGCGAAGGACCATTTCATTAGCTGTCACCAAGCTGCTCTCCATAGAAGTTCAACCATTGGCACTCCAGTCGTGAGGGCGGCCAGCTCCCCAAATCTTGGCCAGGGCAAAGTGGCCACGAGAAACCATTTGATCTTCTTTTTTTCTTTTTTTTTTTTTTGAGTAGTGAGTAGTGTAATGTTAACATCCAAGAAAGTAAAACTGTCACCTCTGATCTTTTTTTCAAGCCGATTGTTGAAGAGTAGTACTCCAGTGCAGTTTACATTTCTCCCATGCGTGAAATTTGGCATCCTTTCTCTTGCGAACTCTTCATTCTCATCCTTTTCCTATTTATCTATTTATAGGGTGATGGTTTTTGCAAATGATTTTTTAAACTTTTTAAGTGTTAAGTATATTAGCCATTTGTGCTCTGAATCACAAATATTTTTCCCCCAACCTCGTTTTCTTTTTTTTTTTTTTTTTCTATGGAAGTACTTTTTTTTTTTTTTTGTCTGGTTTGTATCGGAGTGTTTTTTTTTTTTTATATTTACATAGTTTAACCTGTCAGTGCTTTCTTTCATGGTTTCTGGGGTTTGTGTCTGCAGAAAGTTTTGAGCAGTGGTCAATACCTGGGAGTTAGAGCCTAAGAGTGCTGATATAAGGCAGACAAATTTAGTGAGATGAGGGTGGGAGACCCTGGGTTTTGTTCAAGTAGTTCAGACACCAGTGTGAAGACAGTGAATCATGGATCTGAGCAGTGATTAGAGAAGCCTAACCTCTGGAGTGGGTGGGTGGTGGCCAGAAGAGGCATCACCTCTGGGTGCCAAGAGTGTTGGAGGCAGGGTCCTCCCTCTGTACTCAGGTCCCTTGCTCCCTGCCCCTGCCCAATCCAGGAGGAGCTGGAGTTCTGCGAAAAGCTGTTACAGACGTGTTTCTCCAGCCCGACGGACGACAGCATGGATCGGTGAAACCAGGTGGCTTCTTGCCCCCTTCTCCGTGGGAACCCCAGGCCTCTTGCCTCCCTCCCCACCTACAAGGCCCTCTCCCAAGGGATCGCAGGACCTAGGTGCCTGGACCCGGGGTGTGCCAGCCCATGTCTGTATAGCCCCTACAGGGGGCGCTGAGAAAGGCACCAGGTTCTTGGACCCCACCTCCCATGCTCTCACTCTCATCCCCATTCTCTTGTCTACACAACTTTTCCAATAAAGGTGTTTCTCCTCCTCTCCCTCCTTCACTGCCACCTTTGTCACCTCCTCTGGAGGATGCATGGGGGACGGGAGGAGGGGCACGAGTTTAAGGGACTTGCGGAGCCACTAGAGGAATTAAAAAAGTGTTGCTGTTTATCATCTACAGAGCTGTTGTGTCCTTTAATCTTCGCTGCCTTTCTTGAGCAAGAGTGTGTGGAACATCTGTCCTTTCTCGGCCACCTGGCAAACCTAAATCTAGGTTTGAGGAATTCCCAAGGCTAGACATCTAAATCCTCCCTAGAGTAGCAGCCATTTCCCTTCCCAGCATCCTTCGCTGTAGGGTAGTCAAGTGACTTTAGCTCCACCAGTCAGAACCCTCCACGGGAATCTGGTTTGTCCACCAATGAGAACCTGCTGGTGGCCTAGCTCCTCTACCAATCAGAGCTGCCGGTTGTCTGGACCCGGAGCTGGCGGTGGAGGGGCACCTGCCTAGGTTCCATTCTGGCTAGTGCAGGAACAGACACACCTAGCTTCTGGAGGAGGCTGGCAGACGATCTGGCGGGTGTGTCTGAACCAGGTGCCTGTGATGGAGGCTGCACTGTCTAAGGAGCAAGCCTGTGGCTGGGTGTGGGCTTCATTCCTGACTGCAAAGCACCAAGCGGATTCCGTAGCCTTCTCAGAGATGTGGGATTGGGGCGGGAGGTGGGGTGTCAGGAGGCTGCCTCATCTCTTTTAATTCCTTTTCTGTTTAGCCACAAGAAATGCTGTCATGCAGGCAAGAACCTTGACTGCTGTTGTTTTTTAAGAGAGAAGGCGGAGCCCAGAGGAGGCCAAGCCCTGACCAAGTTCACAGCTAGGATTCAAACCTGAGCTAATTCCAGAGCCATCCTTCTCAGGTTCCCTAGGACAATTTGATGTCAGACTCACTACTTTTGTGTGGATTGTACTTGTGCATCTGGGATTTGATTAGTCTATTTGGATTGGTTTTTTCTGTTTGTTTTTTGAGACGGAGTCTCACTCTGCCACCCAGGCTGGAGTGCCATGGTCTCGGCTTACTGCAACCTCCGCCTCCCGGGTTCAAGCATTCTTCTGCCTCAGTCTCCCAAGTAGCTGGGGTTACAGGTGCTGGCCACCATGCCTGGCTAATTTTTGTATTTTTAATGGAGACTGGGGTTTCACCATGTTGGTCAGGCTGGTCTCGAACTCCTGACCTCGTGATCCACCCGCCTCGGCCTCCCATAGTGCTGGGATTACAGGAGTGAACCACCACACCCAGCCTTGGGTAGGTTTTTATCACCCCTCTTCCCAAATCCAGGACAAATCGAGAGGTACCTGGAGGATCTGAGACCCTGTCTTAAAAAAAAAAAGTTCCAATTGTAGTCCCAGCTACTTGGGAGGCTGAGGTGAGAGAATCACTTGAACCCAGGAGTTCGAGGCTGCAGTGATCTGTGATTGTGCCATGCATTTCAGCCTGGGCAACAGAGCCAGACCCTGTCTCTTAAAAAGAAAGTTCCAATTCTAATGCAATCACAATTGTATATCTGTGAGGTCTGCTGGGTGGAAACCCAGACTTCAGTTCTTAAAGCCCTCACAGCTGCCCACCTTCTATTTGAAGGGTAGGGACTATAGCCACCTCCCTACCCCTCGGTTCCTGACCTCTGTGTTAAAACAATGTGGCAATGATGCCATCATATTGTGGGGAAAACAAGGAAGCCAAATGCTGAGTAGAAGACAAAACATCCCTATAGATGAAAAGGAATGCCTCTCTGTGATGGTTCATTTCAGGAGTTGACTGGGCTAAGAGGTGTCCACATAGCTGGTGAAACATGGATGTATCTAGGAGAGTATTTATGGAAGAGACTAGCATTTGAATCAGCAGACTGAAGATCTTCCCTCACCAATGTGAGCTGGCATTGTTCAATCCATTGAGGGTCTGAACAGACAGAACAAAAAGGGCAAAGGAGGGATGAATTTGCTTTTTTTTTTTTTTTGAGACAGAGTCTCCCTCCCACCCAGGTTGGAGTGTAATGGTGTGATCTCGGTCACTGCAACCTCTGCCTCCCGGGTTCAAGTTGTTCTCCTGCCTCAGCCTCTGGAGTAGCTGAGGCTACAGGTGCATACCACCGCACCTGGCTAATTTTTGTATTTTTAGTAGAGATGGGGTTTCACTATGTTGGCTAGGCTGGTCTCGAACTCCTGACCTCAAATGATCCTCTTGCCTTGGCCTCCCAAAGTGCCGGGTTTACAGGCATGAGCCACTGCACTTGGCCCATAAATCTTTTTTTATATAATGATGTATATCCTATTGGTTCTGTTTTCAAGCTGCGTCCCCTTTAAAACAAGATATCAAAGATGAAAACAAGCCAGGTGTGCTGGCTTATGCCTGTAATCTCAACGCTTTGGAAGGCTGAGTTGGGAGGCTTGAGCCCAGGAGTTTGAGACCAGTCTGAGCAACATAGGAAGACCTCATCTCTACAAAAAATTAAAAACTTAGCTGGGCATGGTGGCATGCGCCTGTTGTCCCAGCTATTTGGGAGGCTGAGGTAGGAGGCTAACTTGGGCCCTGGTGGTTGAGGCTGCAGTGAATCATGACTGAACCACTGCACTGCAGCCTGAGTGACAGAGCAAGACCCTGTCTTAAAAAAAAAAAAAAGATTGAAAAAAAGATTGGCAAACCTAAGGAGACAAATTGAGGACTGTGCTAAACTAGATTGCGCAACAAATATTCCCTTCCTTCCACTCCACCTCCATGAGAGAAATACACTTTCTCACTCAGGGTTAGTAGAGAGTGCCCACCTGCCCCTTAAGGCTGGATTATGTGAAGTCTTCCTCTGCCATCCAGGCTGGAGTGCAGTGGCGCAATCTCAGCTCACTGCAACCTCTGCCTCTTGGGTTCAAGTGATTCTCCTGCCCTCGCCTCCTGAGTAGCTGTGATTACAGGTGCCTGCCAGTGTGTCCAGCTAATTTTTGTATTTTTAGTGGAGCTGGGTTTTCACCATGTTGGCCAGGTTGGTCTCGAACTACTAACTTCATGATCCTCACTCGGCCTCCCAAAGTGCTGGAATTACAGGTGTGCACCACCGAGCCAGGGCAGATTATGTCTTTCTTTGATCAATGGATAGTGGTAGATGGGAGGCCACCAGAGACTTGAAATAGGCTAACACAGTTGGGTTTGATTGCTTGTGCACCTGCCTTTTATTATGAGATGGTACCCTAAGTTTTTAATTTTTTGTGCATGAAAGATGAGGAGCAGAACCGGTCTTACCAACCTTCATACCTGCAGCTCCAAGCTGTGCACATGATACAAGCTACTGAGACTGTCATGCAGCAATAGCTAACACAGGGACAAAATAACACCGTATACAACACAAACAGTGGAAACAGCAGGGACCAGAAGAGACAGGGCTGAAAAACCAAACTGCCAAAAACTGTTCATCAGGGGATGCTGGTGAAGGCAACAAAGATTAAAGCAATTCTGGCCAGGCGCAGTGGCTCACACCTGTAATCCCAGCACTTTGGGAGGCCGAGGAAGGCAGGTCACACGAGGTTAGGAGTTCGAGAGGATCCTGGCCAACATGGAGAAACCTGTCTCTTCTAAAAATACAAAAATTAGCTGGGTGTGGTGGTGCGTGCCTGTAATCCCAGCTACTCGGGAGGCTGAGGCAGGAGAATCACTTGAACCTGGGAGGCGGAGGTTGCAGCCAGCCGACATCGTACCACTGCTCTCCAGCCTGGGCAACCCAGTGAGACTCCGCCTCAAAAAAAAAAAAAAAAAAAAAGCAATTAAAGAGAAGCTAACAGATGTGAAGGACACAAATTCATGATTGGAATTCTTTTTTTTTCCTCTTGGATAGCTGAGAACACAGGCGCAGGCCACCATGCCCAACCAATTAAAAAAAATTTTTTTTATAGATACTGGGGGAGGCTGGTCTCGAACTCCCGGACTCTAGCCATCCTCCCGCCTCGGAACTCCCAAAGTGCTGGGATTGCAGGTTTGAGCCACCGCGACCAGCCAATTTGCAGTCTTAAAAAAACAAGTTCCTCGCACGCACACGATTGTAACAGTAGGCTTCTAATATGGGTAGTGAGGGGGGCTATTAAAGTTGGGGAAACTGAGGCTCAAAGCCAGATGGGACCTTCATCAATCTAGACACAAGGTTGTGTCTTTCAGTTGATGCTATTAGAGGAGGCTTTGGGCGGAACTGGCAACAATAACGACCCGGCCGGGACAGTCGTCTGCAGATGGAAAGGACTGAGGGCCCCTGAGGTTCCCTGGCGGCTTAATAAGAGAGGCGGGACGTAGGCGCCTGGCTTTGGCTGGAGCGATAACCAGATCTGGATTCCACAGGAGCCCGACCCTGGAGCCAAACTTGGACTTGATTAGAGGAGGCAGAACAGCGAATCGATTTCCAAACGGAGAGAGTGCGAAGGCAAATCCTGGAGCGGAATATCGACGGGGCCTTGGAACGGAGCCGTAGAGTAACCTGCCCCTAGTGCACAGCAGCTCCGGCGCACTGAGCCTTCTGGGTTTATTTCGGGCCAGACCGTTGGCGCCAACGGGCGCAAGCGCGTCTGAGGCAGCGGTGTTCAAGAATGGGCGCGGTCGGCAGTGTCCCAGCGCACGCGCGTTGCGCCGCCCAAGTGTGCGGCCCCTCCCGCACCTGCGCAGCGAGACGGCCACGGGAGGGCGGGGCCTCCTGCGTCGTCCAGCGCTAGGGGGATTGTGGGATAGTGGCGGAGGGAGCCGGGCGTCGGAGGCCCTGAGAAGGGCCGCAGAGCTCGGAGACTGAGCGGTTTTGGGGAACGGGTGGTTAAGGAAGTAAGCCTCGGCTTCCGTCGATCGCTGCTCGGCTCTGCGGCCCGTTCGGACCGCGGAGGAGGACGTCTTCCCCTCCCGCCAGGCGCTGGGTCGGAGCGACTTCCCCCGTTTTCCCGGCTGAGGCGCCTGCGCGGGCCTCGCGACCCGGCTTGCCCGCAACCGGTCTTGGCCCGCGTGCCCACCTCGCCTGCGGACCCCGGAGGCGCCTACGCGGACT